AATAAGTTAAATTTTAGACTATTAGCTGGCAGACTCAAAAAAATAATCCAACTTACACAAAGGTCACAAAATATAAATTACATAAACACTGCCAAAAGTAAAAGTAAGGCTACTTGGAAAATAATCAACAAAAATAAATATAGATTACCTATTAATAATATTGAAAAAATAAATAACGATAACCAAATTTTGACGAACCCTTCTGACATAGCACAAGCGTTTAACGATTTCTATGTGGATCTAGTAGAAACAAATAATTTACCAAAACAATCACAATTGCAATTTTACGATTTCTGTAACAAATCCTCATCTATGTTTATGCAGCCTACACTTCCTCAGGACATACACCAAATTATACACAAATTAAAAAACACAGCTAGCACTGGATATGACGGTATCAGTACTAAAATTTTAAAAATGGTGTCGGTACCAATTTCACCTATACTAAGTCATTTGATAAATAACTGTATCACACAGGGGGTGTATCCTGAAAAGCTAAAGATATCACTAGTAAAACCAATGTTTAAAAAAGACGATAAGGAAAACATGAAATCCTACAGACCAATTGCCTTAATACCCATACTGTCAAAGGTTTTTGAAAAAGTGATACACAACAGCTTAAATAATTACTTTGAAAAGAACAATCTGTTTACAGACAACCAGAAAGGATTTAGAAAAAACAAATGTATTGATGTAGCTATTTATGAATTTCTGAAGGTAATTATCACTAGAATGGACAAACGAATGCCAGTCCAAGCACTTTACATGGATATGACGAAGGCATTTGATTACGTCAATCACAGCATACTAATAAAAAAAATTAAATGCCTATGGTGTTCGAGGAAATGTGTCTAAACTGCTTGAGTCGTACCTTACCAGTCGCCAACAAGTTACAGTAATTGATAGAATATGCTGTGAGACTAAAACTGAAACTTCTTACAGTTCAAATACTAGGACAATTAAATATGGAGTACCACAGGGAAGTACACTAGGCCCTCTCCTGTTTATCATCTACATCAATGACTTTCCAACCGCGACAAAATTTCCTATGGTACTGTTTGCCGATGATAGCACCGTCGTATTTAATAACGATAATATTAATACCACCAGTTCGGTAATCGAAGAGAATATTATGTCTCTGGTGGGATGGCTTGATTTGAATAATCTTAAAATTAATTTAAGTAAAACGACAATTATGAATTTTGGACAAAAAGAAAATAATACGATGGATATAAACATTAAATACGACAATAAAAGTATTACTGACATTAAAGTAGCATCATTCTTGGGTTTGCAAATTGAAAGTACTCTAAAGTGGCATGCACAAATTGAAAAGGTGTGTGGTAAACTAAACCAATATGCGTATGCACTACACATGCTAAACAAAACCGTTAACCAAGACACAATTCTCGCTGCCTATCATGGCTTGGTCGCATCAACGATAAGATACGGAATTATATTTTGGGGCAATGCAGCGGGTAAAGAATTAGTTTTCAAGTCTCAAAAACGCTGCATAAGGGCAATATGTAATATCTTGGCTACTGACACATGTAAACCATACTTTGTAAAATTAAAACTACTCACAATGCCATCCATTTATATTTTTGAAAGTGCGCTTTTTGTTAGACGAAACTGGTCAAAATTTTCAAAGGTGTCAAGTAACCGCAGAGCTGGTAAGCTACATATGGTTCAAGCTAAAACCGCCCTATATCACAAAAGCATATTTGTCATGGCACCTAAAATCTATAACAAGCTGCCCAAATGTATTCTAAATTCAGAAAATGTACAGTCATTTAAAAATAAATTGAAAGAATTTTTAATATTGAAAGCTTATTACTCTGTTGACGAATATTTCCAGGACAAAATAATGTAATATATATTATTATGTAGAATTATTTTAATATTGGCATGCTAACAATGATTTAAAAATTGACATATGTACAGAAAAATTATTATGTAATTATTTGGACTCAATATTTGTAGACGCATAAATTGTCTTTTCTTCTTTCTTTTGTGATGTATTTAAATTGTAATTATTATTTTCTCGATTTATTATTTGTACACCACGTAATGTGGTAGGATGTAGTGGAACTTTAACATAACATTTAAGATCTGTAACTAACCTATATTCCACAAATAAAGTATTATGAATTATGAATTATGAATTAAGTTAATAATGAATAAATTCAATAAATTGAAAAAAAAAAGATAACACACAAACACTGTTAATTGTACCTACAACATCAAATATGGCAAATTCGCAACAAAAACGTTGTGTCATACGTTTCTTGCTCTGTGTATATCAAGCAATTAAAGACGCTTTAATTACTGTTGAGGCACATTTAATCGACTATCTATCTACTTATTTGAATGAATCATGTCATTATGTTAGGTTAGGTGTTGACGAGTGTTAAGTAAATTAAAGTGTACGGTGTCGCGATTAAGGCGCAGTCGAGGGACTTTAGTCCACTGAAGACGAACATCCATGAAACGTGAACAAAATATCCGCCGAGAACTGGCCATGGACTCAACGTATACGGTCTGCGTACATTACACATATATTATAAAACTAAAATGATCTCTCTCTATAAAAAAACTTTTAAAAATTGTAGTTCTTAAATGCTATGGAATTTGGGCTAGATTTTTTTTGGTGATGCATATTTTAATAAACTGTAACCATATCAAACATAACATACATATAATTCTTCCTCATAAAGGAATTAAAAAATAAAACCTAAAACAACAAAAAAAATAATTTCTTGTTTTTGAGCATAGAATATTGAGTTTTTTTTGTTGCAATAATCATGTTTTTACTATAATTGCATGTCCTATAATTAATTAAAAGTGTTATTTTTTAAAGTAAAAATATTTTTATATTTTTCATACAAATACTTTAATGTCAAATATCTTACGTTTAAATCAAAATTGTCGCACGAGAGTTCTACTCTTCCATTGAAAACGATCTCGTTTATCGATAGATGTAAATAAAAATGTCCGTTTTTTCGATCAAAAGCCATAACGTGCAGTTGTACGTCACACGTGCCGCAACTCTCCGACGCTAACGTTCGCTATGTGCACTACTCGTATGTGCAGTGCTGCGACTAGTCACTAGACATGGGACTAAATCACAGTGAACTGTAATTTATCATTCGATTTTTGCGTACTTTGATTAGACGCAGTAACAGTAAATCTAGTATTTTTTTATTTGTTATGTAGGGTATGCTAGCTATATGTAATAAAATAATTACTACTAGATTTACTGTTAAATTGGCGAAATAGGGTCTTTGTGCATGGTTTGTAAACATCTTATTGGTAACAACGCGTGAGTACTAACCCTAACCTACGTACGAAAAAATCGAATGATAAATAACCAATATTTCACAGTTCACTGTGATTTTGTCCCATGGCCCAGGTACTAGCCACGCACCTTTTATTGTTTATGGGGACTTCCCCGTACTTTTGTCTTGTCCGGTCTTTTGATGTCCTCGGTTGTTTGGGGGACTTTTCATACGCAATACTTTTAATTTGTTGCGTTCGTTATTCAATACAGTTTTAGTTGATTCATTTGGCAGGCGCAGGGATATATCTTTACATTTGAAACTCACTCCTAGTACCTACCGTCACACACACATAGCGTTGGGTGAGTCGTTAGGCCCATCACACCGAGTTATCAACTTGTAACGACTTAAACACGCATTGGGAGCGCGGCGCTTGTCGCCTGATGCTGAGCCGTGGACTGCTCGAGAATATTTACGACTACTAATAGTCATACAAGTAAGACTATTCTAAAATAGAGAATAGAAACCGAAATAAATTTTTGAATAGTCGTAGACGAAGGCCAGAAGACCAATTCTCGTAATTAAAGTTCACGTTTTGAGCAGTTTTTGAATTTTTAACTAACGACAGTTGTGAGATCGAAAGTTGATCGGAACTGACTTGAGACCGAACTTTTATTAGGAGAATTGGCCTTTAGTTCTTGTGTCTGAGCGAAGCTGTCGCTGCGTGATGATGGCACATACATCAATCAAAACAAAGAGGAACAATTATTTGTATTGGTCGGAACGTTCCCGACACCACCCGCACACGAGGAGTGTACCACACATACACACACACACACTAGGACCTATCGAACTAATCAAACGTCTTATTTACTATGTTTAATTTTTTTACTAAACGAAAGTATAACGAACGCGTAACAATTGTTTCGATTACGAAATATAAAAAATCTACATTCGTTGTAGGTCACAAAGTAACACTTGCTCACGAATGTTAAAACTTGTTCTCAATAGCATAATGCTCTTGTGTAGAAAAGAATCGACCAGAAATACATATATTTACGGCCGCCCTTGTTGAAATTATAGTTTTGGGCTTGTAGTGGTTTTTCTTTTAGAAAAGTGCAACAACTATGTATAGTACAAACATGTGTACAGAGTAGCTTATTAATTACATAACAACTATGTAATACGAGTACGCCACCCTGCACATGTAGTATGTAACGCTGTTCTGATTTGATATGCGAAATAACGTTCTCGCAAAAGGTTGCGGCCGCCGTAAAATATCTGATTGTAGTGAGGAGTACCTGACACTCCACCACACAATGGGGTCAAAATGCCAGCGTGTAATAAGCCGAGTCCTCACTGCGTTAGCAGTGGTGATAGACGGGACTCAATTCCCCCCTAGCGACCAAGTAAGGTACTTCCTGAAGGTTGCTGCTTACTCGATGATGCCGCCTCCAAATCCCAGACAGAAATCGTTTCTAACCTACCTATAATGACGAGGGATCTTAGCTCCCCCCGGTCCGTACGACCACATTAGACATGCAGACAGCACGGTCCCGGGGGGTCAGAGTAGAACGTGCTGAGCGGATTAAGTACCTAAGATAATAGACAGGCATGAGGTGTTGTGCGCACAACGGCGATCGATGTGTCAATCTGTGTAACGTTACGTGGTGTTCCAGGTGTGGAGAGCGGTGCGACGTGCGATGAGCGTGCGCGCGCGCCATGAGGAAGTTCATGCGCACGCGCGCGGAGCCGCCACACACACCCACCACAGCCGTCGCGCACCAAGCCGCCCACCAGCCGCTCAACGGACATGCGCACAAACACAACGGACACGCCAGTCAGTAACTATACCTAATACTATTTCAAACCGACTTCAAAAATAAAGACATACAATAGTACCTCTGAAATATATCACTTATATAAAAGTGTAATAAACAATAAGATATACAAAATGTATTTACTGCCCATGCCTGCCCATTAAAATAGGCCCATGCTTATTTTAAAATTTCTTTGTATGGATGGAAGCGTATGTTACAACATTTATTCCATTGTCACCAAGTCCGGATCTGATGACAGTGTCTCAGGGAACCCCTTAGAGTGTTTGTTGTTTTCTTTTATTAAGCAAAAAATAAATATTATTATTAGCCGATTACACAAAAAGGACTTCTTTTTAAATAATTATTACTGTAGACTTAAGTATAACCTCCGCAGTAAAAAGGCTGCACACTAACAACCACACTTGGTATCGCGTGGTGAGCTGGCACTCACTCGCACCAACGAAACTGAAACCGACCAAGCAACGGCGCGTGACACCGCGCACATCGCGTCCTCTAACGTAATGCGCTCTGTACAACACTTGCATATGTGAAAGTAGCCCAATTCTCAATTCAATTTAAGAACGTCTTCAGAAAGTAATACCGATTTATTCTCAACATTAAGTAGTTTTGATGGTCTCGTTTAACGTACTGAGTAAACCAATTAGCATGTCTCGGTGCAAAGACCACTTTTCAGTTAAATGTATGACGTGAGTTATTGCGAAGTACGAGTACGTACCAAACATATATGATAACTAGCTGACCCGCGCAACTTCGTCTGCGTCTCTCAATAGTAATAATTTTTCTCCGTTTTTGAAACATTCTTCATTGGTGCTCCGCTCCTATTGGTCTTAGCGTGATGATATATAGCCTATAGCCTTCCTCGATAAATGGGCTATCTAACACTGAAAGAATTTTTCAAATCGGACCAGTAGTTCCTGAGATTAGCGCGTTCAAACAAACAAACAAACAAACAAACAAACAAACAAACTCTTCAGCTTTATAATATTAGTATAGATATACGTTTATTCATTCTCGGGGTTAGGTTATATCATCATATTTATTTCCGACTATTTCACGATGAACGAGAACCCGATGCCTAGTGTGTTAAGGGAGTAAAGCCCGCCTGGCATTCTGAAATATGAACGTGAGTGAAATCATAATAGTGTATTTTCTGTTTGTATTATCATAACCGTGTGGTGACGGAGTGTCACCGCCCCTATTCATCCCGTTCGAGTCGTAAGAGCCGACTAAGGGAGCTAACTACGAAGGGCCACAGCACTGCAAAGAGAAAGAAAACTTGATACACACCCTATACTAACCCGTTTGGCCTAGCGTGGTATAGTAGACTAAAACCTCCTTTTCTAAGGCCTATGTCCAGCCGTGGACTAATATAGGACGATGATGTATGTTTGTCACAATAAAAACTTTTTACAAAATGCATCTGAACTTTTATACGGTACTTACATCAAATATTTCTTTTTAAGAATTAGTGTGTTTGTTACGGTTAATATTCGAAACGGGTGGGTCGATTTTACGATGATCGTTCATCATTTTTTGCAAAAAGATGTTATAAAGGGTAAGAGAAGCCACTTTTATTTTGGAAAAAGAATGAGGGAAGAAAAAATATAAATATGTGAAGCCGCGACGGGCACAGCTAGTTTTATGAAAATGTGCGCGTAACTCACGGAAGTTTTATTGCAATATTCAAAATGTTACTTCTTTCACCATTGTACAAAGGGATTTGGTCAGTGCATTCTAGTACAAGCGTACCTTGAGACAGTTATTGTACAGAAGCAGTGGTTTCACTGCGGAAGTGGTGCACTCTACAATTTGTTCGGGTAGCATCGGCGCGCGCCGGCCGGTAGCTCTTGAAGACGGACACGCACCACTTGGTAGGCGCACGACCACCACTGGCGTGCAATCACGGTACGACGACACAACGAAGGGTACGCAGTTCTGGCAGACAGGCCGTGAACTGGTGCCCAGTAGCTTACTCTCCTTTACTTATAGGGCGATACACGCATACGCGCCGAGACAATGACAGGCTGACGAGATCTGAAGGAGTTAACTATTTGAATGAACCAAGTAACTAATATAGAATAGACTGCACGGATGGCGTAGTGGTTTAAGCGGTCGCCTCGCCGCTTCCTACTACGCTGAGTGTTGTGGGTTCGATCCGCACATGGGACGACACTTTGTGTGATCCACAAATTGTTGTTCTGAGTCTGGGTTTTCTTTGTGTCCGTCTCATGTATGTTTGTAAAGTCTCCCGCGACACAGGATAAATTCCTAATGCGGGAGTTCTCTTAAAAAAAAAATAGGTAGCTCATGTTTTTCAAATTGATCTATCCGAAATAGATATAGGGATAGAGAGTGCCTGTGTTAGGGTCGCTAGGCCTTCTATGCTCCTTTGATTTCTCTGGGATACCATCATCAGATCCTAACTTGGTGACAATAGGACCACCTCGGGAGAATATCCTTTCCATTATAAAAAGGATTCATACAAAACTTGACGCAGAAATAGCGTAACAAACATTAAAAAAAATGCAGTCAAATTAAGAACCTCCTATTATTTTGAAGTCGTTTAAGAATAACTCGATGAGTGATGTGTGTCCATGTGAGTTCATCGGAGACCATGATGTTTTCCCAGGTGTTATGTGTTGATGTGTGTATGTGTTATGAATAATGTAATTCATTTGTATCTGTGTAAATGTAACGTTCAATTAAATAGGTCAACAATAGGTAGGAGAACACCGAACAAGTTTGGTGTTCTCCTACCCATTGCCAGTCTGCCACTAATGCACTTGCGCCTTGTACCACAGTTGGTAGGTTCTATCGAGTAGATGTTTTGTGTGGACTGTCTCCCCAACGTCATGTTAGAGTCGCCTTGTACAGTATGCTTGTGATGATGTCTGCAGATGGGGCGGGCGCGCGGCGCGACGAGCAGCACTCCACACTCTCCAGGTGAGCACGGCAACCATGTGCCTACACATTTGCATTTAAACATCGATTTGTCAAAGTTAGAGCCAGCGACTCACTCACCCTACTGACTCTCATACTTATGGAACTTTTATGAAGATCAAACTATGTATCGTGTATTTCCTTATATCACAGGTGGTTTTGGTAAACATGTGTTTGTGCGTGGCAGGTACTGGAGTGGCTCGGAGGTGTCAACGGGTGCGGGGGCGGGAGCGTCGGTTGTGGGGGGTGCGCTCTTCGAGGACTTGCAGTTCCCCGCAACGTGGCGCGCGCTCGGTGACAAAAGACTCGCCGCCGGAGTGCGCTGGATGAGACCTCACGTGAGTACTAGTTTGGACCTCTTACCTCACTGTGTAACTTACTTAGTAAAGGGCAATCAGATCAACTACTGCCTTTTTTAAAGTCCTTTCCTCTACTAACAGGAAAGCCTTTCACGTTTCTCTTGCCTCCTGTCCGACCGTCCGTCCGCGGTTTAGCTTACCCTATTACTATCAGGTAATTTTGTATGAGTATAGATATCAAATCACACCGACCGAGTCGTGTCTTTCCTACCTCCCACTGATAAATATTTGTTTCTCTTGTAACTCAAAAACGAAAGTATCGTTAGAATAGTTTCGCAAACACTTTAAGTATGTAGTCTATTTTAGTTTGAGCAATCCAAGTTGAAAGTTGATGGAGTCAAAAGTCCTCCCCCGTACCAGCTTAAACCGTCGCAATGAATTAATATATTATATACACTAATAGATTTAAAAAAACTACACCGGCTAAGTCAGCTCTAACAGTACAAGTGAAACTCATACTGGTTATAATGTACTCGGTGATAGGTGTACAAAATACATAATCCTTAAAAAAAAGGCAATTATCAATCATTTTGTAATCAATGGTTTATCTGCTGACACAGAGGCCACTCTTATTAAGGAGGCTTTAATACCATTGCATGCTTTAATACCTTTATAGGAAATCCCTGGTGCCCCGACGTACCTCGGGCCATCTGCGGCGGGTAGACGACCACCCCTATGTGGGTAACCCCATGTTCCCTCTGTGCTCCCGGAAGGGCGCGCCCTTTCGCAACGCGCTCCCTTGATATACCTATCTATAGGAATTTGCTCTTTGCTGATTTGCCCTAGATGGGCCATCTGAGCACTTACGAAATTAGGGGCTCATTTGCAAATAGGATATAATACACGGCCTCTTTTTTTCCCGTAGATAAAAATCACAAAAATTCTAAGGCAAATAGATTTTAATCAGTCTAGTGGTTGTCGAGATTTGAAAAAATCCTCTTATTCACTATGAAAGCCGCTTCTTGTTCACTAGTATTTCTCAGTGAACTAGTAGTGCATAGGGTTACATTTTAATGAAAATAAAAACATTGTTTATAAAATTAATTGATTTCTTAAATGATAATAAAGTATTAATAGCCCAGTGAATTTCTTTCTATTCTTTGTAATTATACACACAAAGTTGCATCAAGCATTTATATCGGTAAAGTGATGCAATACTTGTTCAAGGCAAGTTATGTTTCATCCTTTATATTAGTTCCACGGAACTTCACACTGTTATCAGCAACAAACTGGTAAAAACTAAATTACTTCAGTTTGGTAACGACGTGTGCAGTCCAGCGTATTTGTATAATAGAGGACAGTGCATGTACAACACAAGTATGAACAGACCAAACAGTATAATATGACCTTTGTGTCCGATATTTGTGTCGCTCAATGTCCACGGACAGTGCACAAGAAACGGCGTGCGCGAGACAACTAAAGTGACGTAACTAAAATATTGAATAGACAGCCTTCACGCGATCATCTGATGTTCTCTGACGCTAGCGCAAACATAGCACTACTGGCGCGTGCGCATGTCACATTTATGACTGTGATAAGACGGTCGCGTGTTCTGAGTGTGTTTAGCCGAGTGCTAGAGCCCCAAATACAAGCTGATCTTAATTTTGGTCCAGGTGACAGTTCGGTGCGGTGGCCGTGGGCGACCCCACACGTGTATGCGATAGCGATCCATAATTACCGAACACAGCGTTTACAGATATCAGCTTGAACTCATTGCTATGTGTACAGATGCATGTACAGTGTATTCGCACAGGGTACGACTGTTACGTCACTTGTAAGTCTTAGCGTTCACGTGACGTCACGCATCAACAGTCACGTGCGCCGAGTACACCCACAACATGCACATCCACAACACACTAGTGAGCACTACCCAAGATGTTACTATTTCGGTATATCAATGGTAAAAATTGCACATGCAACAGCGATTAGTCGTAGGTACTCAGTGTAAAGCAATCTCCCCACGGAGTACTGGCGGCCTCCATCCATCTATTCCCTAAATGTGTTGGCGAGCGGACTCACTTGGCATGGCATGTATCGGAGCGCCATTGTATTGGAACTGTTTCTATTTATATCGCAGAAACGCAAAGCGGCGCGTCCGTGTGCGTTTGCGCACAACGGGATCGGCTTCCGGGCGCTCGCCGCCGCTCAATACTCGTACGTACTTAATATTGATTTATATTGGGATGTACGTACATACACACTACCGTGTACTACGGCCCTCTTGTGCACTATTGTGATCGGTAGTGGGTGGAACCCGCGTGCCGAGGACCTTAGTGAGATGAAAGCGAAGGCCTCGCCTCTCGCCTACAGAAGACATCAACGCGCTTGCTCCTTACACCTTGCTATTGACTAATTGTAATTTAAAGCGCTGTGCTGTAAAACTTAAACAATAGACAGCGCCTATGGGGTAATAAATGAATATGTTATTGACGCGTGCTAAATGGTGACCTACAAAATATTGGTGGATAAGGACAATGCTTGCTTAGAACCGTGGCTGGATTATTTTGCTTCACCACATACCTACGTACCTACAATGTATCTAGTACACTTCCGACACATGGTTTATTTCATAACTATACAACATACTTAACCTTAAACATTGCGAACAGACGACGACTCTGTTCCCCGCACCTGCTAACTCGTGATAAGTTACTTAACACGTGCTCACGTAGGCTCACGTGAGGCCAACAATTAAAAAATAAAAATAAATAAATAATATATCTCACACACTCACACACGGCCGTCTGATCCCAAACTAGGCAGAGCCTGTGCTATGGTAACCAGACCGCTGATAAACATACTTATATATTTCTAAATACATACATATTATAGATAAATTACACCCAGACACAGAACAAATGACCGTGCTCATCACACAATATTTGTCCTGGGTGGGAATCGAACCCACGACCTCCGGTTTAGCAGTCAGGGTCACTAACCACTAATACTAATTGGCTGACGACAGTCCCGTTTGTTGGAGTAAGTGTCTCTAACCTGTAACATATGGTTTAGACCGTGCAGGCCAGGAGGAGGAGTGGGGCTAAGGCTGGCTAACGGTCCGCGGTCGCCGTGTCGCCGACACTGGGGGACTGGCCACTGCGCGCAAGTAGAGCGGCACGCGTCGCGCTCGAACCTTACTCGTAACATACTAAGTAAAAGTGCTGACAGCGCCCACAACTGCTTCCAGGGGCGCCTCACACCATGCTATTTACATATTTCGAATTCATTCATAATATTCAATGGTGATATCGTGTGAAGTAAAGTGTATGTGCACCAAACCGTGTATGTGTACCAAACGCAACCTTGTAAAGATCCCTCAGAGCCTCTATTGAAGAGTGTTTCTTCAAGAGCAGTTAGCCAAAATGTAAAGAGCTGCATGTTAGTTGAGTGCGCGTCCCTCGGACACATCTGAAGCGACACAAATATTGCGAAGCTGAACAAGGTTTCACTTGTCTAAGTACGCAATACACTGAAAGTAGGTCCCCTCGCGCACATTACCTCCCCCCAAACCCCCCACCTCTCGCCTTGAGGCACGAGCATGTCGCAGGGACGCGCTCGGCGCACTTGTGTTTACAAACCTCCGTGACGATTAAGCAGTTAACGCAGCCTGCCCGCTTACGGACGTAACGAACTTTTGAGACGACTTGCCCCCCCCGCCACCGCTCACTGCCACCGCCACACGCATATTGCACCGACCCCACATTCGTTAGATTACTCTCGTACCAATTAAATCTGCCCCCCCCCCCCATCACAAGAATACTTCACATCATGAATCTAAACATTAATATGCCTTGATTTAAGTACAGTGGCAAAGAACCGTTCGGTGCACAGTCCGTAGGACGTCTCTTATTGCCGAAAATTCTTGTCTTCTATGGAGGTGAAAACATTGTGGAGCATTGGCTAAACTCCACTCGCTTCGGTGATCCCACTTCCCATGATTCCCCTTTGGCGATTATGCGAATAGTTACTTTGTAACTACCACGTAAACACTTAACAAATTTAGCCTGTATTATTTATAAAGGAACCTCATTTTATAGTATTTTTGAGAAAATCATGGAGAACGGTGAGAAGCAAGTATTCTCTGAAGCGCGTTCTCTCTGATCCAAACTGTATCGCTAACAGCGCAACGTTAGGAGGGCGTCACGCGCTGCGAGGCGCCCTTGACCGCACCTACTTACTGAGCAAGGTTCCGCGAGTGTCACCCGTCGCCCGCACGGCGAGAACAACGCCGGACTTAAGATACGTGCGCCAGGGGAAAGGCTGAGGACCACTAACTTTCTTCTCAAATATTTAAAATGGAGAGACTGAGAAAATGCTATTAAGCAACGCGCGCGTGCCGTGTTTGCAAACAACGTTATCCGCAGAATTGCAAATTAACACAAATTCAATACCTTTAACATCAATAAAGAAACCATTTTTGCTTTTAACACTATGTCAAATAAAACTTTAGATTGTACTCTATTGAAATGATCTCAATTAAGAAGAGGTCTTGTCGTTGGAGCCGAAGGGTGCAGCGCAGTTACCGAGACGGACGGAAGGAGCACACAAAAAGCAATGACGTGCGGCGTGACGTACGGCGTACTCCGTTAGTCCGCGCGCCCTACATCCCGCGCGACGTGACGGCCCGTAGGGCGCGCGCTCTCATGTTCTCATCGCATTGTGACCGAGACGGCCATTTCCCACCGGCGGCGCGCCGGCGGCTCCGCCACACGCTGTGTGTCAGTGCGAGTCACACGAATGATCGCTTTCCTAGAAATGAAATCTCACCAGAAACGATGCCAACATGTCACGCGATTTCTCCGACACAAGCACTACGCACTACTTAGACAATGTAATTGCCACTGCTGTATATATGCGGTGTACTGGATTACCCGCATGCTCCTGTACATCAGACACATGTTATAATAGTTCCTCTTGCAACTTTTATATTTATGCCTCTCTTGGTAAGGATGTAATAGGCATTACATAATGCCTATGAGGCCTGGGGGGTAATTCCCGGTCAACACAATTGTATTGCACCTTATCTATTTAGTATTGTCTTAACTAACAATTGTCAGATGTTTAGATAGAGCAATTGCCCCACGCGGACGCACCGACTACTACACCTACACCGTTTACCTTATCTATTTATTTGTTGCCACAAACCCGCAGCGTTATGAATATAAATTATTATTCAAAGTTCGGCCGATTGCATGCCCTCATTCGTAACAACTATTCAGTGTGTACAGCTGTGACGCAACACACAGCTACGAGTAGGTACCTAAACCATCTTAAAAAGTGTTCAATAATTAATAGTCTCCCACTGCAATATTTTTCAGCTAGTTTATTAAATTCATTAGATTTTGAGATTTTATGTAACATTCCAACGGCAAGCAACCATGATCCTGAGACTCTAACTTGTTAGAGTGCCGTACGTTCTAACGAAATAAGGGAACCACTATGAATCTACTGCATCGATTAAGTGTGTGAAACATAAAATTAAATCACAAAACCTAAAATTGAAAAATACATGAGTAGTTTTTACTTACAGGTTACAGGAAAATCTATAAGATATCTTCAAATTCCATAGTAATCTGTCAATTTTGTGCCTACAAACTTATATTTGCAACTCATCGTACGGAACCCTCCACGCGAGTTCAACTCGTAGGTACTTGGCCGGGCGAGCAGCAGACCGAACGGAATTGTTATTCGTAGAATGCGTAGAATGGAAATATTATAAACCACTTTCAATTCGGTGTTAAATGTGTGTAATGGCAGCCAGTGCGGGTAAATAAGTACACACAACTATTCACAAAGCTCAGTCAAATGAACACTCTGCTCATCATATCCTCTGGGAATGTAGTCTTTTATACAATGAACGTGATATAATTCTCAATAGCTTACATGTGATATCTGGGGCGGTATATTATGATGATCTTATCTCAACATACAATCTGCCATACATATTACAGAAATCAAATATAGCTCACTAAGGACCCATAATATTTTGTGTCCATGGTACTTCCCTGTTTAAAAGGGTGTATGCCTATTTTTACTTAATTTTGTCTCCCTCTTTGCTAAGGACCCAAGTGGATTTATTGTATTTTCAACTCTTCCAATTTTCTTCTGATTAATTTTTCCTGGGACTGCCCGAGTGTCATAACTCGGTGTGTCCGTGGGTCACGGCTATTGATCCTGGTGTACACGAGTTACAGTAGTGGGCGTGGGGGAGGGTTTGTTTTGAAAAAATAACAATATTTTAGTCTACCCTACTTGATTGCACCTCTAACAAAGAGAAGTATTTTCTTGGCTAGAGAATGCTTACGCCTGGAGAATGTGGTAACTCTAAACGAGGCTATCGGGACGAGTTGAATGACATTTCATAAGCGTAAATAATTTTTTTTGGACATTTAGTCGAACGAGTACAGCTTGCGGGTCCGGTTTCCGCATTTAGACTCAAGATGGTCCTTTATGCGCCGAGGACGGGTTGGCTAGGTGAGTAAAGTCCTTCCAGAAGAGCAGATGCCTCCTGGGGCGTTCACAGGCTTCTAGGAACGACCTTGTATCAGGACTGTCCGCTGTGTGTCCACGCTGCATGCTGTCTGACAGTATTCGGATGTTATAGTCCTTAATGCCCCTTGACATGGCCGTTGTGGCGGCGAAAGTTATGCCACATATTTGCATTGGAATATGGCACTGTGTTGGCCTAACGCTAGTGATATGTTCATATTTAGGTCTTGCGAGAAAACTCAGGCTCCATTTCCTGATCTAGTCTTGGAACCGTCCGTGTAAATTCGGACTTCGTTAATGCCGGATTGACTTCGGTAATTTTTTTGTATTGCTTGCGGGTAAAACCTGTATAAAAATATTTGTTAGAGTCATGAACGGAGCATGTTGTGTTGATATCGTCGTGTTGACGGATCTGTCGGTCTAGTGGTTAGTGGTCCCGACTGCTCAGCCGGAGGTCGAATATTACAACACAACGGACGTATTTGTTACTAGGAGCTGTGCGGCCGGCCACGGTTTCGAGGAGACGACCGCGTGCTGCGCGAGAGCGCTTCGCCCACGAGCACCGCGCTCGACCCCGCTGACATCGACGAGGAGGAGAACCCTGCCAGGTACGCCTCTCGTGTCCCGGACACAGGATACTCACTCTTCCGATCACTCGTGTGCTCTGTCCATTATTTTAATCACTCGTTGACAGTTTCATTAGAAGTCAATTAGCAATAGACTGTAATTCGTTTTTAATTTCTTTTCGTTTCCATGTAATCAAATTAATACTAAAGGATACTGCACTAGTTTATTTCGTTATTGAATCTTAATACTTAGTAAATCCTTCATCATCATCATCGCCCATCGCAGTCCAAGGCTTGATATTAATTAAATCAAGTTAATTTAAATCATTCATACTGAAGTGATTATTACACTATCCTACCTAGCTTTTAATGTTATTTCGAAATTTTCATGTGATCTTGATACCAATTTAGAAATAAATAATATTTGTTCTAATCTAAATCTAAATAAAATATAAATAGTATAACTAGAGGTGTAGGTAATGTTCACATCTGTCGCCACCGCAAAATTGAAAAATACTAACATCAATAAAAATAAGCAATCTATGTATATATATATATATATATATTTCTAAATACATACATAGTATAGATAAATTACACCCAGACACAGAACAAATTATCGTGCAATCACACAATTGTTTGTACTGGGTGGGAATCAAACCCGCAACCGCCCGTTTAGCAGTCAGGGTCACTAACCACTAGACCAACAGGCACGTCCAAAAAATGAAAATTAAACAAATTGGAGAACAGAAAATATCCGAATGAACAGAGAAATTACAAGTACAGTGTTAGAGTGTATTAGTTATGTACGAGTACATGTAATATCTCGTGCCTTCTGCGGGCTCTGATACCCACAGTAAGATATGACTATGAGTCACGGGTAGCAGTTCCTCTCACAGTTGATAAACTTTATAAACAAGGTTTTTTCCTATGTCCACCCACTGGACTACTAAAAGCTGTTGAAGATGATGATGAGTTTAAAATCAAATTTCCAACAACGATAACAGCATCGATATCTCTTCTCGGTTGAAGACTTCAGTTATTTTCAATAGTTAATCACTTTTTATCTTGTATACAATTTTCGTCAAAAACAATTATTAACAAATTCTTCTTTACGAAAAATCATTCCTTAAATCATATTTTTCAGGATTTTTATGGTATAGTGGACAAACGAGCAGTCGGGTCACATGATGACGGTCAGATAGCTACGAGGTTTACGCTACGTGGCTATTCTGTGTAACCGTTTTAATAAGTAGTAGTCTTACAAGTATTTGCTCAATGAGCGTCACGATGATGATCAGGGGCGTGCGCTCCTTGTAGGCAGAAATGCAGTGCTTTACTTGCTATTCACAGACATTTTAATAAAACGTTGGTACGTTTTAGATGACTTTAATTAATAGTAAATAAATGAAAAAACAAAATATAATAACTTAAAAACGCGTACTATTTACAAATAGCATAGCACCACACAAACATTGTTTGCCGGGTGTTTACCGAAAAGCAAGCGCAAAGCAACTCATGCCGTCGCCTCGCGCAGGACATTTGTTCGCATGTGTGTAGTAATTTTGGTGTCCGTGCACAGTTCGCATACGCACACACCCATTTATTTTATATGCCCGACTACAGCCGCAGGCCTTCGGGTTCCCGCGCTAATCGTTGTCGTCAGTATTCGGGTATAATCGGCAGTGTTCGTTGCCTATAAATCCACCTAATTACAATAGTCAGAAATATTATGAATCATGTATGCGGATTATGAATTTTGAATATGGTAAGGTTTTATTTGTTTAATTAGCAGATATGTTTCTTGTTCGCGGGGGCCATATTGATTTTTTCATGTGATAAGCATTGTTTACTATTTTCTTTCCGCCAGTATAATTATAGTTTTATTTGAAAGTGTGTACATTTAACAGTTTATTACTGAGTTCCGTTGATTTTTTTAAAATGTTATTTGATTGTGAGTTATGTGTGGATAATGTATGTCTATTAAAAATTAAAAATAACAAGTTCTCACAATTGCCATTCAGTGAAAAGATTATAATTGTGTCTAAAGGTAGGTGTGTACCCGAGTTACAACAATTAAACCAGCAAAAAGGAAATGTAACTCGCAAGTTTCATGTTAAAAGTTATGAAACGTATGACTGGCTGTGTAGTTGTGTACACACGATTAAATTATATTGTTTTCCTTGCATATTGTTTAGTAATTCTAGTACAGTGTGGACTGATTCGGGATATTCAGATTTAAATAATTTATATTCCGCAGCAAGGAAGCATGATGCATGGTGAGTAGTTATAATATTTTAGCCTATTATTTTACTTATTAGAATTTCTTCCGCCGCGACGATCTATCGCTGTTTTGTCTGCGTTCCCGTTGAAGATGTACATGAATAGCAGTACATCTAAGACTTGTGCTAAAAATCTATAAAAGGAAAAGTGACCGACTACTCCGCCGCATACCTAGTGTCATAATCCTGTGCACGCCGCTGATGATTATGTGACGCAGGTGGAACGTGGAGGCAGGCGGGCTTAACGGCGCGGCGGTGTGCGTGGCGGCGGCGGCGCTAGCTCTGGCGCCGCGCCTGCTGGACCGCGCCCTGCCGCCGCACTCCTTCACGCACCACTACACCGGCGCCTTCAGGTACGAACGAACCGCTGCTGGCGATGCGGCAGACCTATCGACTCGGTTCTATTTCTTATCACTGCAATCGCGAGGTGCGTGGCAGGTTTGTTAATAAGAGGCACTGAGGTACACAACGGAGGTCTGTATCAATTTTGAAATAGGAGCTTTATGGGATCAAGGGTCAGAGCCCATATATAGGCTGTATGAACTGTACTGATGTAACTTAAAACGTGATTAACAAATTTGTAATAATGATAAAATTTGTAACAACCACATTCCAAAAGTCATATGGTTGTTAGAAATTTTAATTTATTTTTATAGTGACAACACATTGAATGGTAATTTATATAAATAAATTTTCAAAATAAAATACCTATGCAACACCAAAAAAATCGCTCAGTTTTTTATACGGCCTATTTTATACGTACGGGACACTACTTTTAGTAGTTAAAGTAGGCACTTGTCTTTGGGATTCAATTTGAAAAAAAAAGTTATAACCGCTTCAATTTTCAAATATTTGATCTTTTGTTTTTCATAAAAACAGGTAGAACGTGTAAAGAATCCAATATTGGACTGAAAAATTCCAAAATAAATCCTATATTCGATTAGTCCACCCGTTTTGATGAGAATCGGAGCCTAATAACATCTGAAAATTGGAACGGTCATTACTTTTAAACGAATAGTTTTTTTAAATGATTTTATTAATACATGCATGCTTGAGTTACGACCTTTCAGTAATTTTAATAGATGTTCCTTTCATTTTTGCACCGACATACCTATATAGCTAAGCGTGTCATGGAATAGTAACTTGTATGGGATTCTAAGGAATGCGTTCTAAGTTTCTCAATTAACCAAAAGTAATTAGATATTAATACCACCTCTTAATGCAAATCAACCATTTCTATTAAGATCTTTTATGAGTTGTAATAACATCATCTGTTTGAATTTAAAACAGGAACATTCCATTCTTTGGGAACAGTAATATTTATACTACTGAGTAAAGTGAGATAATATTATTGTAAATCGTCACGAGCACGTCTGTGTAATAACTGATCTCCCCGCTGTTAGACCCTCGGGTAAAATGGTTTGTAAAATTAATTACAGAAGACTAAAAGATATAATGTATGTTTGTTTGAGATATGTGCTCCTAATGAGAGTTTATGTGTGTTTATGACGCACCGAGAACTTGTGACTTTCTCTTTCTCTTGGACATCACCAGTTTGTCCAGTATTAAAAAATAAAATCTCAGCCACAATATAGGTTAAAAAGCAATATAAGCGCAAAAAAGGCTTCCCTGGCAGGCGGGGAAAATACTACGTCAGTTATTTAGTAGCGGTCTTCCTCAGGGTGGTAGACATGCCGCAGTCCAGGATCTAACCGGTGAAATGCTTTAGATGCAAGTATTCAACGCTAATAACTCATGTTTAGTTTTAGGTTCTGGGTTTTCGGATCATGGCGCGAGGTGGTAGTCGACGACCGGCTACCGGTGCGCGGCGGGCGCGTGTTTTGCGCGAGCTCGAGTTTACGCGATGACTTCACGCTCGCGCTGCTGCACAAGGCGTACGCCAAGCTGCACGGGAGCTTCGCGGCGCTACGCGGCGCTGGCGTGGCGCGCGCATTACAAGACCTCTCCGGTGCTATCGTGCAGAGCTTCTCGCTGCGTCACCAGCCGCACGCCCTCACCTTCCAAGTGCTGAACTCCGCTGTGCCACGCTCCACGCTACTCGTCGCTACTCTCGTTGCGGTAGTATCCACATTAATACATATGCTATAGATTGATAATATCTTGCAGTAAATAATAAGCGGCCACTCAGCAGGAGAACAACAAGCGGGCATTCAACGGACTTCTAGCGGGACAAGCGTACTGCGTGACTGGACTGGCGCGGGTGCGTGAAGCGGGCGGCGTAGCCGGAACCGGTGTCGCCGGTGCACTCGTGCGTCTACGCGCCGTGTGCGCGCGTGGCGCGTGGGCAGGCGCCTGGTCGCCGCACAGCCTCGAGTGGCGGGCATTACCGCCAGCCGATAGAGACCTGCTCGCCGACCGCGCCCTGGAGCCGGGAGATTTCTGGTGTGTGTTTATATTCCTATCTCGACGGAGCTATTTTTAATAATCGTGTACAAACCACCGACACCACGGACTGAAACACTGTATGCCTTGTATAGGATGTCATTCGGGGACTTCGCGTCATCGTTCAGCTCGCTGGAACTGGTGCACGTAGGGCCGGACGATTGGCTGCACGAGCCTGCACTCCACGCGCGCCGGCCTTGGCGAGCCGTGCTTGCTCGAAGGCGATGGCGCTACGGCTACAACGCGGGCGGTCCGCCGTCCTGCACCGGTAGGTTCAGAGCGCTAGCTCACTCTTGAAACTTGTATACTTTACTCGATCACGATTTAAGACAAGGGTTATTCTTATCTTTCAGAGACGACGGGCACGAATCCGCAATTCCACGTACAGATTCCCCGTGCGGAAACCAACGCAGCGCGTAAGTGCCACGTAGTGGTGTCGGTGACGCAGCAATACGAGATAGCCGGCGGCCCACGCCTTACCGCCATCGGCTTCTGCGTGTACGAGCTGCCACCCGGCGCCGCCCCCCGCCGCGACCTGCACCCGTTGCAGGGTCTGGTACGTAATTCCGTCTTAAGCCACGTCAGAGATTCTATCTCCGGCGGCCTCTCTCACTCTGAGCGTGTTACAGCGGTCGCTGGACGTGACGCACGAGTCCCGCGCGCGGGAGGTGGTGACGTTCTTCACGCTGCCGCCGGGGCGGTACCTGGTCGTGCCGCACACCCGCCACGCACACACGGAGGGCGCGTTCCTGTTGCGTATCCTCACGGACGACCACACCGACGTGTGGGAGCTCAACGAGGACAACTCGATCGTGCGCGACCTCTCCGCCGAGTTCGCGGAGGACGACCGCACGATACCGGTACGTAAGAGTCCGAAGTCGGTTCGACGAGATCGGTCCCGGCGCCTGAGCGACGAGCGATACTCACGTTCGGTGTGCAGGCGGAGGTGCACACGGCGGCGGCGCGGCTGGCGCTGGCGCGCGGCGCGGAGCTGGACGCGGCGGAGCTGCGCGCTGCGCTGCGGCGCGTGTGGCGCGCGGTGCTGTGCGCGGCGCCGTCGCTGGAGCTGTGTCGCGCGCTGGTGGCGCTGCGCGACAGCGCGCTGGCCGGCGCGATGAGGGCGCGCGACCTGCCCGCGCTACTGGCGCTGCTGACGTACTGGCGCGCCGCCTTCCTGCGCCTGGCCGTGAGACGCTGCGGCGCCGCGCCGCGCGTGTCGTCCTACCGCCTCCGCGCGCTGCTGTGGGCGAGCGGCGTCACCGCCTCCAACAAGGTGCTGGAGTGTCTCGTGCTGCGGTTCGCTCGACGCGCCGCTCTCGACGAGGAAGCGTATGTGATGGCGCTGGCGCGCCTCCACCTCGCGCACGGTTCGTATCCGACTGTTCTGCCGAAGTCCACTACGATTCTGAGTCAGACTCTCCGCTGAATGTTGACGAGCACGTTTTTTTCAGAGCGCTATCGCAGCCTCGACACCAAAGTGAAGTCTAACCCGCTATCTCTCGAGGAGGTGAGTGCCGTTCTTCTGTGCGAAGTTTATATAATTATCACGTTGTCTTGTGTAATAAAACTCACGGTGTCCCACTACACTAAACCGTTCAAGGTTTTCCTTGAGGCAGTTCAAGTTCATTATATATTTATTTAGTTGATTCACCAACAGTTATATACAATAATTTATGGCAACACACACACCTTTAAACTTTCAAGAAAAGAGCGTACTTCTTTTGTGACACCTGAGAGTGGGGACCTCTGGTGGAAGATTAACTGCTGCGGTAGTGGATTGGATGGCGGCCTGAACGCACCAAAAATGTGATTGGGCCTCAAAATTTGGTGATAGGATGATAGGCAGGGGGAAGCCTCTGGCTTCCTGTGGGATAGGGCATAGTTAGGTGCGGCGTGGATCTGGGGGGGGGGGACCTAAAGTCACATGGCCCCTGGAGTAGAGCGCCTAAGGCTGGCAATCGGGGTGGTTTTTTAGTTTAAATACCACATACTCCTGGCTCCTGTATCTCCAAGGAGCCGAAGATCCGAAGGGATTTGCTACATCGTCAAAAAAAAGGGGGGTTCAATTCGAGAGTTTAAAATTACTATTTCATTAAATAGATATATTAATAGAAATCTTAAAATAATATAAATGAAGAGAAAAGATAATTAATAATAATTTTTTTATAGAGAAAAAAAAAAAGATCCGTGAATCACGTGATGTAAAATACAAATCAGATAATGTGCTGTAATTGTACAACTTTGACTGCTTATTAACCAATCAGCTTGGCAGTCTCAGTCTTGTCTTTATTTAAGAGAAATAATATTTTGGCGTAGATAGTGATTTGAATCTGCACAAACTATTCAAGTTCTTTCTTAATTATGTTCTTCAATTTAAATATCATTCAATATGTCTTTCTGATATAGAAATGTAAAAATATTAATGTTAGTACAGCTAATTTGACACTATCATTAACTTTTCATACAAAATGTAAAGTACTCTGTCCAGCGATGGCATCATGCTTGGTCATTACACCATTACTTTCTTAGCGTTTTTGGGACCTATTTTTTTTTTTCAAATTAAAATACACCTATTTTTATTTGATATAAGAGTATAATCTATTTACTCGTATATGTAAAAACAAAGTCGTGTTAGTTACACCATTTTTAACTCAAGAACGCTTCACCAATTTTTATGATTTTTGTGTTTTTGGATTTGTCTTCGTCCGGAATATATTAAAATATGATGTTTGTAAGGTTTTAACACCAAGAAGTAAAATGATAGATAATAAGTTAACTTGTTATAACTATTTACTTATTGCTAATGAGTAAAATGTACGTGTTGGCGTAATATGCTGACACGACAATGTGCGGGTGCAATGCCCGAACATGCTGCCGCCACCAGCGCGGGAGTGGATGATAGTGGATGATAGTAGATAACGTGAGACAAGCTTGATTGTTACATTATTTTGTTGTTTAATGCTAATGGATGAATTCCAGTTAATGAAAAGAACTTCAAATCTCTACACAAGGTATGAGGAAAGACAGGTATTTTGCCTTGAAACATAAACATATACAATGTATTCACAGTTGCACTTCACACTTACTATTCCAGACTATCGTGTAGGTGGCGCCCTCTATGATTTCATGAAATGCTGCTGGTGTTCCTCAAAAACAGCTTCCAAACTTGCGGCACATTAATGCGTGTGTACTCGTACCGTTGCACAGCGATCCACAGCTAGTACTTACGACTGACGCAGGTCCTTTTCGGGCACGGCTACTTCGGGAGGTACCTGCACTCGGTCGGTACGAGGGAATTGAGTCCCGCCTGTAACCACTGCCGATGGCAGTGAGGCAATTTGACCAGCTTGGGCGTCGCAGCGTTGGGTCCTCTTTGCAGCCATTGGAGAGGATCTCTCGCTACCAGCCGTCATACGCTCCATGGCCGGAAGTGACAGCTTCTGCGAAGGCGTCATCTAGCAGAAGGAGGCGGCGGAGAGGGCCCGCGAGGATATCTCCACTCGGACCGCTCAATTCGCTGCCGCAGTGTGTGTGGCCGCAGGTAGACGGGACGGGTTTTTCCATTCACCCGTAATAACGGCCAGCCATGTGTGTCAGACGTCGCCGAAATAGAGAATGTACCCAAAGGTGGTGCTCGCGCTGTGGCGGGTAGGTGCTAGGAGGAGTCCGGATGTCTTAATAACAGCAGTTCCTGGATCCCTTCTATTACAGGTGCCGAGTGGCACACCGTGTGGTTTTAGTCGGGTCCTATTCCGACACTCCACCCCGCCGCAAGCCCCGGTGGGGTGACGCCCCGAGGGGGTTTTCACAAAAGGGTTTTAAAAAAAGGGTGTATTAAAAAAAAGGCCAAGGAGGATCCGGCTCGAGGGACCATGTACAAATATTAACTTTGACCCTTAAATTAATATTTTACATAATGCTCTTTTAGATTTTATATAGGCTATATTAAATAACCGTGGCGGTTAATTTTAACGAGTACAAATATGTGAGCAAGTTATGGTGACGAGGGCTTCTTTTTCAGATGATCCTGATGACGATATACTCGTAAGCGTTCGTGCGCATGGATGCGGCGCGGGCATCTCGCTGCGCGGATACACGGGACTAGGGGTCCCTCGTCGACACTGAGTACCTATCAATATAAGTTATTGTTAACTTACATAACATGATTATGTATAATTATTTATTACAAATTGCAATATGTACATAACAGCTGTTATGAGTGTAGGTGGGTACATACATATACTTATAATACGATAAGATATAACTAGAGTAAGGACGTTTTTATAGATGTGAGTTCACACGTAGCGTACGATAACCAAAGATTAAATCCGTTCCAAATCACCGGAGGTTACAGTACAAAGCAGAGTGTACACGGTACACAGTGTACACAGTGCACGGGCACCCGGCAGGTGACAGTGCCTGGCTAGGCGCGGGGCGGCGGAGGGGACACGATGTGATATTGTTCTACTAGTTACTTGTACTTAATTTAATTAGTTATGTTCAACGATACCGCGTAAACTGGTGCTATTTATTTATTCCTATGTTACTATGTTTGTGCAATGATGTTACGATACATGTGTGTGGGGGCGTGCGCCGACACTTGCAGTTCATTTATTGGTTGAGTTTAATATCTGACACAAACACTAAGGCCCGTATTTTAAAAGTTGTCTCAGTCGTGAATCTAGTCTTTAAACTAATTTTAAGAAGAGATTTTATTATTGAACGTCACTTAAAACGAGATTCGACACTCCATACTCAAGTGAGTGATAGCTTATTTTAGAACGATGTTTATGTCCAAATCATTACCCAGGTATAGATTTTGACAGCTGTGATCTTTGTTTACGTGAGACAAGCTGAAACTAGTCTCAAGCGGTGATTTCTAGGGCATTTAGGGGAAATGAATGTGTTTTACGATGATTTATTTTTGAATAATTACGAAAGAATTACTTGGCATACTATAATCAAATTCACTTTCATTTACCTTAATTGATATGAAATTCACCAAAATTCACATTTTACACACACAATACCAGTTTAAATTACCACAACCTTTTGGTTTACGATAAAAGTATAGTAATATAAATTTTAGAAATATTAAATAAAAACATCGTTTGACATTTCAACATGACAAGTGTTGATAAATAACTGGAACGTTCCGTTATAGCCTATTCATACAGCTAGTCATTTTTATTTTAATATTTATTATACTTAATTTTGATCGAACAACAATCTTGTTAATATGTTAACATTGCTACACTAGCCAATAGTATATTATATACAAATTCACAGACTTTTTTTTGTAAAAGAATTTTTTTTTTTAAATAATTAGCTGCGTAATGCGGAATAATAGTTTCAATCATGCGGAAACGTAATTGTGAACCGACTGTAAGTTCAAATCAATAATTGAAACTAGTTTCAACTGAGTAAAACTTAAAACGCGTTCTATAATAAGATCGATACTTAAGATTTGATCTGAACCGACACTCGAGACGTCTTTTAAAATACGGGCCTAAATGTTGTAAAGACGTTCGTATGAGGAGACAGCTCGGCCATAACTGCTACACTTGTAAGTATGGGTCTACAAGTATAATAGATGTACGATAGACGTAAGTAAAACTCAGTTCATAGTCAAGATATTGAAGTGCTGGCTATTACAATACATTAGTAGGCGTAGCGGCGCTAGTTGTAAGCGCTAACCGGCGATGAGTGAGAGCTCAACACTTTGCTGTAGAACCGTTGCTTGTTATGTTTGTCTTGTTATTTGTTTTAAGTTATTCGTTGTTTTGTAATCAACACGGCTATTTATAGTTTAATACACATTTCCTGTTTGATTTTGTCATATTCTCTCAACTCAATCTTTTACTTTGTAGTTCTTAATACTTGGCGTCAGTAAACTTACAAATACTTAGACAACTGCTCGCGTACCTTCTCGTAAACGCTATAAATTTGAAATATATGGTTGAAATAAATATATCGCATGGCACTACCCGAAGTTTTATTTTAACTTCTATGACTGTTTCAAACCTCTCCCCTTGAAATCACAACCGCCGCTAGCAGGGCTACATCGCTTGTCAAAGTCAAGCTTTACGCACACGGAGGTTAGCGAGTGGCCGGTGTGGCGGGTAGGGGCATCACGCGCTTACCGCACTGCTGACACGGCTGGTATTCTGCTTAAACCAAAAACAATACAAATAAAGTGCAGAGATGTAGAAGAATTCCGTCATTAAGAAATTGAAGAGGGCAAAACAAGGTTTGTACGGGTGGCGAGTAATTTATAACATTAGACGTTTAAAATATTATCATTCTACTGTGGGGGAGTGCTGCGTACATTCTTACTATTTTTATGCTGCAAAACAGAGCGAATCAAGCGATTTAAAAGGCAATCGTTGTTCATTGTGTTCAGAAATTTATAGAAATAATCTGACTCATCCGTAGAATAAATTCCGAACTGCAAAATTGCTAGTGATAGATTTCAGTAGAGGTCACAGAAGTTGTCATGTGTAACTCTTAAACAGAGAAACTTGACATTTAGATTTTTTGGTATGTTGTTACAACGCCCCTGCCTAGTTAACAAATGCTCTGTAGTATGTACTTTTACCCTTTTATTTTACGAGATAGTGAGTTCCATATCAACATAAGACACTTTATGACGGAAGACCGGGGTTCCGCAGTGAACATTATATGTTGTTTTACGGAGACGGCTGAATTAACTGACGTGATTATTTAACATGGGTCGTTTTTTTGTTGGAATTACTCATGCCTTATGAGTTCTTTGTGAATGTGCCTATGCCTTAAAATATTTAAACATAATGTTACGTACATTATTAGTAACCTTGAATAGAACTAAATCAACAAAGAAATTGTCATTTAAAAACGTTTATTAAATTTATTTATTTAAAAAAATCAAAACTATTAGATGGCATCACCTTGAACAACAATCACATCACAATTAGGCACGGACTTAAAATTAGCATAGTTTAAAACTTACAGATCCATGTATCAATTAGGATGATGAATTTAAATTTTATTTTTATTTTTTATAAAATAAAGAATAACATATTTTTTAAAATTACGATCAGTCCGTAAAATTTTATCAACCAAAAACATCGTCACATAGACTTTGTTCTAAACTTAATGTTTTTTTTATTCAATCACAGCATGGTAACTACGGTTTTGGCTGAATTTACAAACACTTTCATTAAAGATAAAGTTCTGAAAAACAATGAACTCAATAGCAATCACCTCGTGACTTTACTAAGACAGAATCTTATCAATACTGTTGGGTAGCAAACGGCAGCGCATTTCTCCGCAAAAAACAAGGACAACTTGCAGAACTTATAAAAAATGAAACAATTTCTGAAAATGAAGTCTGAAACCATAAGTGATAAAATTTGACTATTATGGTGTTTTTGACCGACTATTTTATTTCTCATAGTGTTTTTTCTTTTTATTTTGTATTTTAGCAGTGCTACTACTCTGTCAAGAGAGTAACGGGAAAAGATCAATAATACACAAAATGTTTGTTATTCATCCAAATTTATTTTATCACCTTCAAAGTAGGCTCCTTCAGAAACGATACACTTACGCCAACGAATAATCCAATTAGCAAAACAATTTTTAAACGCTTTTTCCGGAATTGAGTTCAGTTCTCGCCGCGAATTCTCCTTTATGTCTTCTACCTATTGAAAATGGGTGCCACAAAGTGGTAATTCGAGTCTAGGAAAAAGAAAGAAGTCGGCAGGAGCCATATCTGGTGAATATGGTTGTTGCTCAATGGTATTTGTTGAGTGTTAGTTTGTTTTTTTTTTTCTAGACCTCTCACAAGACGTGGGAGACTGTCTTTACAGTTTTAATTGATCAAATCTGTCATACACAGCTCTCGCTATCATTACACTTTCGTGCTGCATACTAACTCTTTCTTTTGTCCTTCCTCATTTACACATTGGCTTAAGGCTCTTGTTGGTATGATTCCTTTGGTGTTAGGCGGAATAAAACGAGAGTGGACTGTATAAATAATATTTAAAACACTGGTTAAGTACAGGGTTGTCGTTGTAGGGAAAACAATATAAAAATATGAACTGTATATAAGGACCGCGAGCGGGTATGTGTCTTAATCGCGTCGATCAGCTGAATGCCGCGCTTGTGGCCAGCGCGCGCGCATCTCGTCGTGCCCGAAGTCCCCTCTCTTTCTCTCTCGCTGCCGATGTCCTTGAGCACGTGTTGAATGCATGATTCAACATACTCCCCGGGTTGAAGTGTCTTCAACAGAAGAGATAGGAAGAGGGCATATGGTGTTGAAGGCTCGCCGAATGACACCCTTACGTGTGCGGATGTCGGCAACCCTTGCGATGCCGTCTCTGCCGGGTAGCACACGAACGATGCGTCCTAGAAGCCACATTAAAGGGGGTAAGCCTTTGTCTTTAATTATTACAAGAGTGCGGCCAGAAGATTGACGCCATTTGGTTCTCTCCTGAAGCCAAAGGATGTACTCGTGAGAGAAACGAGCCCAGAAATGCTGTTTCAGGTATTCGATTCGACGAAACCGTTGTAAGCTGGTGATGTTGTTGCTCTGGATCTGTGGATGTGGCAGCATGATTAGCGATCGCCCAATAAGGAAGTGAGCAGGTGTCAAAGGAGTCATGTCCGTAGGGTCACTGGATAAGGGAGTTAGTGGCCTCGAGTTCAAAATGGCTTCGACCTGTGTCAAGCATGTAGCCATCTCTTCAAACGTCAAGTTTGTTAGGCCCAAGATACGTCTGAGATGGTGCTTTGTCGACTTAACTGCGGACTCCCACAATCCGCCGAAGTGTGGAGTATACGCCGGTATGAATGAAAAGTTTATACCTGAGTCAATATCTTTGAAGTTTAAGTCCTGTGATAAAAGATCAGACAATTCATTAAACGCGCCCACAAAGGTTGTGCCATTATCCGAGAAAACGTTTCGCGGCTTTCCTCTGCGAGCAATAAAACGGTTCATACTTGCTAAGAAAGCCTCTTTTGTAAGGTCGGATACAAGTTCGAGGTGAACTGCCCTGGTAGCTAAACACACAAATATGCAAATAAAACACTTGATGAGTCTACAGCCTCTGCCTTTGCGGTCTGCTATGATGATAGGCCCAGCGTAATCCACGCCTGTGTCCAGAAAAGGAAACTCTAAATGTAAACGCTGCTCTGGAAGGTCACCCATGATAGGTTGAACAGTGCTAGCCTTTATCCTGCAACATTTAACACACTGATGTGTGACCTTTTTGGCCAAATTCCACCAATGGGGTAATAGTGATGTCGAATTGTAGCAAGTAAGAGTTGCGGTCCTGCATGCAAGAGACGAAGATGGTACATGTTAAATATTAAAATACAAATATTATGAGAGCTGGATAAAAGAATTGGATGTTTTACGTTAAAGTCGTTAAATGAATTCTTTAATCTGCCACCTACACGAATAAGCTTAGTTGCTTCATCTAGGAAAGGTGACAGAGACAAAAGTTTATTTTTTGCTGGCAGCGGTCTACCCGCCAACAATAAGGTGCACTCTTCCCGAAAGGACTCTTGTTGACTAAATCTGAGTAAGAAGTGTAATGAAGTAGTCAACTCACTGCTAGCAAGAAGACCACTGCCCACAGAGTTCTTTCGGCACTTGTTAATAAATCGGAATACATATGCTATTATACGTTGTAATTTATTAAAACTAGAGTATTTTTGTGATATAAGCGAAAAATAATTAATGTTGCCGTCATTTGTGTCAACATGATGAGAAGCTGCTATTTCCTTTGAGTCACATGCATCACTCTCAGGAAAGGTCGGCCACAAAAACGGCTCCTGTCGTAAGAATTGTGGACCTGACCACCATAATGAGGATGACAACAGTTTGTCAGCACTGAGTCCGCCCGAAGCGAGGTCTGCGGGGTTCTCGAGAGAAGGGACATAACGCCAAGAGCACTTTCCGACAGTATCCTGAATTTCCGAGACGCGATGACGAACGAAGCTCTGTAATTGTGTTGGTGGTGCAGACAGCCAACCCAAAACAATAGTGGAGTCACACCAAAATATTGATTCATGTATATGAACAGTAAGAGACTGACAAATCTTATGATAAAGCCGAGTTCCTAACAATGCTTAGGTTAGGTTGGGTTAGGTTTTTTTTTTTTTTTTACGTGGTGGAATGCATTTACGCACTTCGCTCCACGCCGCGGGGGCAGGGGGTTCACTTCGTGTGGGACTCCTGACGGGCCAGACTACCCACTAAACCACCACGGTGTTCCTCCTTCGCCTAATCCGAGCCACGGGATAGTTTGCTCACCGCGACTCGGCTAGGGACGCCCTGTTGATCGGGCTCGCCTCGTGCCCAGATGGTAGGGCCTCCTGAAGAATGCACCCCATGAACACAGAGGGGCGCATTCCGCCACATTAGCATGGGGCGGCAGGTCCCCCGACCCACCGCCCGTGGCGACTCTCTTGGCCTGCGGGGCGGGAGAGCCAGTCCGTCTCGATCCCGCCAGGAGAGCCAGTCCAGCTCGATCCCGCCCCTGCAAAGCCCCTCCCCTTGCGCGCCATCACCTCGCCAGTAACGAGGCGACGGCAGCGTCAGGTTTTTAACGACTTAACTGTCGGGTTTTAAAGTCTTTTCCTTGACGCGCGGGCCGGCCAGTTAAGGCAAGCCCCCTCCCCGCAGGCCTTGCAGGCCCGCCATCCCGCGACCCCCTCGTGCAATGGGGTCAGCTAGCCCTGAAAAGGGCTGTCGGGTTATCGGTCAATCGGCTAACATACAGAGCTCTGTGACAGAGACAGTGTCTATTAACCGTTGTCCAGGGTGCACCAGTCCCCTCGCTTCCGCTCCCGAGAACCGCAGTCCAACGGGGGAAGAAACGAAGAAGCCAACGTGGAGGTTACCCGACCCGCACCCCACCCGACCCGCACCCCAGGTTAGGTTAGGTTAGGTTAGGTTCCACGGCGGCTCCCCCGGGCCGGACGGGGTTCCAGCCCGAGTGATGGCCCGAGCCCTCGACTACATGTCGGACCACCTCAGGGGGGTGTTGGACGCTAGCCTGGCGTCCGGACGCTTCCCTAAGCGCTGGAAATGCGGGAAGCTGGTCCTGCTGCAGAAGCCGGGACGGCCTGCCGAATCGGTCGCGGCCTATAGGCCTATCGTGTTGCTGGACGAGGCGGGCAAACTTTTTGAGAGGGTGCTCTCTGCCCGCATCGTCCGGCACCTTTGCGAGGTTGGCCCCGATCTGTCGGACGCCCAATTCGGTTTCCGAGAGGGGCGTTCGACGATCGATGCCGTAATGCGCCTTAGGGCCGTGACCGAGGAGGCCGTGAGCTGCGGCGGAGTGGTGTTGGCGGTGTCCTTGGACATCGCCAACGCCTTCAATAGTCTGCCATTCAGCTGCATCAGGGAAGCGCTCCGCTACCACGGAGTGCCGGAGTACCTGAGGCGGCTGGTGGCAGACTATCTTGAGGAGCGAACCGTCATGTACGAGGACCGAGATGGCGTCTTGAGACGCAGGGCCATGTCGTGTGGTGTTCCGCAGGGGTCTGTCCTAGGACCTCTCCTGTGGAACATCGGGTACGACTGGGCCCTACGAGGGCGTCTCCCCCCCGGGCTGGGTGTAATCTGCTACGCGGACGACACCTTACTCACGGCCCGGGGGGCTAACTTCCAGGAGGCGGCGCGCCTGGCCGCCACGGGAGTTTCCCAGGTGGTCGGGCGCATTGAGGCGTTGGGATTACGGGTGGCCCTGGATAAGACGGAGGCCCTATTATTTCATGGGCCCCGTCGTGGTCCGCCCGCCGGCGCCTCAATCGAGGTCGGCTCGGTCCTCGTACCGGTCCGGGCCCAGATGAGGTACCTGGGTCTGGTCCTAGACGGTAGGTGGCTCTTCGACGAGCACTTCCGACAGCTTGGTCCGAAGCTGGTGGACACTGCCTCCGCCCTAGGGCGACTTTTGCCCAATTTGGGCGGGGCCAGTGTTCCCACGAGGCGGCTGTACGCGGGGGTTGTCCGGTCCATGGCGCTTTATGGTGCACCGGTGTGGGTGGCGGCTCTGACCGCCCCGAATAGGGCGCGCCTCTGGCGCCCCCAGAGGATATTGGCGGTCAGAGCCATACGCGGATACCGCACGGTGTCCACCGAGGCGGCTTGCGCCTTGGCCGGAACACCCCCGTGGGATTTGGAGGCGGAAGTGCTCGCCGAAGTTTATCGGCGAGTGGCTGACTTCCGGGCGGAGAGCGGATTTCGCCCTCCGCCCGAAGACGTGCGCGAGTGGCGCGAAGCCGCTCGCCGAGCCACTATGGTGAGATGGTCGTTGCGGCTGGAGACTCCACGCGCTGGCTTAGCCGCCGTGGAGGCTCTCCAGCCGGTCATCGCCGAGTGGGCGGGGCGGCAGCACGGGACCCTTTCCTTCCGGCTGACGCAGGTGCTTTCCGGGCACGGTTGCTTCGGAAAGTACCTGTACTCGGTCGCTAGGAGGGAATCGAGTCCCGCCTGCCACCACTGCGACTGCAGTGAGGATTCGGCCCAGCACACGCTGGCGGTTTGCCCCGCATGGGCGACGCAGCGCCGGGCCCTCACTGCAGTCATCGGAGCAGATCTCTCGCTACCGGCCGTAATTCGCTCCATGGCCGGTAGCGACAGTTGTTTTACCGCGGTCGCAACCTTCTGCGAGGAGGTAATCTCGCAGAAGGAGGCGGCGGAGAAGGCCCGGGAGGACGACCTCCACTCGGACCTGATCCGCCGCCGGCGAACCGGGCGGCGGAGGCGCGCTCACCTGCGCCTCATGCCGCCCTGAGTGTGGCCGCGGGTGGACGGGATGGGTTCTCCCCTCCACCCGCATTAGTTGGCCAGCCGCGAGGGGGCGGCGTCCGCGTGTGCCGGACGTCGCCTAAAGAGAGGGTCCACTGAGACGGAGCCCGCATCAGGAGCGGGCCGGCGCTGGGAGGGGTCCAGAAGGAGATAGCTACCTGGACCCCTCCTAAACTAAAAGCGCAAAGAGGGCACACCGTGTGGTTTTAGTCGGTTCGAGTCCGACACACCGCCCCGCCGAACGAGAGCCCCGGCGGGGTGGCGGTCCGAGGGGATTTCCACACGTAAAAAAAAAAAAAAAAAAGGTTAGGTTAGGTTAGGTTAGGTTAGGTTAGGTTAGGTTAGGTTAGGTTAGGTTAGGTTAGGTTAGGTTAGGTTAGGTTAGGTTAGGTTAGGTTAGGTTAGGTTAGGTTAGGTTAGGTTAGGTTAGGTTAGGTTAGGTTAGGTTAGGTTAGGTTAGGTTAGGTTAGGTTAGGTTAGGTTAGGTTAGGTTAGGTTAGGTTAGGTTAGGTTAGGTTAGGTTAGGTTAGGTTAGGTTAGGTTAGGTTAGGTTAGGTTAGGTTAGGTTAGGTTAGGTTAGGTTAGGTTAGGTTAGGTTAGGTTAGGTTAGGTTAGGTTAGGTTAGGTTAGGTTAGGTTAGGTTAGGTTAGGTTAGGTTAGGTTAGGTTAGGTTAGGTTAGGTTAGGTTAGGTTAGGTTAGGTTAGGTTAGGTTAGGTTAGGTTAGGTTAGGTTAGGTTAGGTTAGGTTAGGTTAGGTTAGGTTAGGTTAGGTTAGGTTAGGTTAGGTTAGGTTAGGTTAGGTTAGGTTAGGTTAGGTTAGGTTAGGTTAGGTTAGGTTAGGTTAGGTTAGGTTAGGTTAGGTTAGGTTAGGTTAGGTTAGGTTAGGTTAGGTTAGGTTAGGTTAGGTTAGGTTAGGTTAGGTTAGGTTAGGTTAGGTTAGGTTAGGTTAGGTTAGGTTAGGTTAGGTTAGGTTAGGTTAGGTTAGGTTAGGTTAGGTTAGGTTAGGTTAGGTTAGGTTAGGTTAGGTTAGGTTAGGTTAGGTTAGGTTAGGTTAGGTTAGGTTAGGTTAGGTTAGGTTAGGTTAGGTTAGGTTAGGTTAGGTTAGGTTAGGTTAGGTTAGGTTAGGTTAGGTTAGGTTAGGTTAGGTTAGGTTAGGTTAGGTTAGGTTAGGTTAGGTTAGGTTAGGTTTTTTTTTTTTTTTTTTTTTTTTTTTTTTTTTTTTTTTTTTTTTTTTTTTTTTTTTTTTTTAAAACCTAGATCCTCCAACGTAATTGGAGCCTGTTCTTTTCTCTTTAACATTTTCATTCCAGTTCTATCAATTATTCCTCTCGCACTATCATGCCGCATACTGGTTCTTTCTTGCATTCTTTCCTCATTCATGACTTGTTTGGGTGGGATTCCCATCTATGCCTACTATTCTAAACTCTCTATACTTATATTTCCTTAAATCTATCGGGTATAGTTCAATAACTGCATCGACACTTTGTTTAATATTACTAATTACAAACAATTAAACAATTACAGCTTTATATGCTTATATTAGGCCTTATTTCTATTCTTATTCTAAACAATTTTTATTTATTTCTACTTAATTTTAGTTGACATACAGTTAGTTTGCCTTAAATTACTGCTTACACTTAATTTGTATACTTATTCTAAACATTTTATTCGTTTATGCTGTACAATAATATGTCACAAGATATTATGACAGCATAATTTACTATCGCTTACTACTATTTCTTTTTATTACAGACTTAGCGATTTTTTCGCAATAATCAAGCAACCTGTTCCTGTCTTTCCCCAACATAATTGCTGCAATGTTTTGAGCCTCTATTTTTACATCGAGTGCGTGCTCGATCTCATAACGCTCTCTTAGGTGCACTGGGCACTCAAAGAGGACGTGTTGCACCGACTCGTTGACCTCCGGGTCACAGACGCACGCCGGGCTCTCCTTGCACCGGAAGCGGTTCAGGTACTCAGAGAACCCGCCGTGCCCCGTCATAACTTGAGTCCTGACACTCGTGGCCTCGAAGTTTCGGACGACTCTGTACGCCGTCTTTATATCAGGTAAAAAGATTTTCGTTACCGATGCTGTCGTTCCGTCCCTGTACCTTTTGTTCCATTCGTCAAGGGTCGCACTACGAATGCTACTCTTGACGAATGAAACCGGGCACAGGTCATAGTCGGGCCTGCGCTTGGAGCCCCCAGCCGCCGCCTTGGCCAGCTCATCAGCTCTCTCATTTCCCTCCAATCCTACGTGAGCTTTGATCCAGTGCAGAGACACAGCTTTGCCCTGGAGAGATGCTGTTCTTAAGTGATCTCTTGCCGCCACCGCTAGTGGGTGGAGGGAGCGAGGATTCTGCAGGGTTTGGAGAGCAGCCATGGAGTCGCTGAAGACTCCAAACGCAGTTCCGCCACGCACGGTGACCTCCTTCGTCGCCCTACAAAGTGCCAGGAGTTCGGCCTGGTAAACAGTGCAGTAAGCCGACAGAGCCAGTTTAATTGTGCCGATCTCTGTGTCCTCAGCCCAGATGGTTAGGGCGGCTCCAACTTTTCCCGCTATCTTACTGCCGTCAGTGAAAATTTTTATTGCACCATTTCCGCTTTGCAGATACTGCTCTTGGTTGTCGATTAGTTTGATGTCTAACATCATGTGCTCAGCAGGGTGAGGAGCGTCTACGGTCCTAGCCATACGCTCCACCTCCCGGTCCCTCAGTACTTCCCAGGGGGTACCCCTCTTGGTCTCGTATAGTAAAGTGACCTCACGGATTCGGAGGTCGAGGGGGAGGATTCCCGCCAGTACTAATGCCGAGTTTAATGAGACCGTACGATAGGCTCGGCATATTTTTTGGGCCACTCCACGCTGCAAGGCGTTCAGCTGTTTTTTGACCCCTGTCTTATTTACAGCCAATGACCAGGCGCTGGCCCCATACAGGATGATTGGCTCCATGGTTGCCACATATATTATTCGTGTGACTTCTGGATGTAGTCCCCAACTAGCTTTAGCTGCTCTGGTCAGTTGTTTGTAAACACCTATCGCCTTTTTACAGACATTTGCAACGTGGCTGTTGAATGTAAGTTTTGCGTCTATTGTGACCCCCAGTAATTTTAATTCATTTGTCGAGCCAATGTCGACCCCGCCCATGCTCAGTCGCGGGGTGTCATATTTTAATTTATTTGTAATAGTCATCGCCATGGTCTTGTGGGGCGCGAAAGTCAACTTGTTGATGACTCCCCACTCCCGAACATGTTCGAGGGCGGCATTGGCGCGTCTTTGTATTTCCTCCGCGGTTTCCCCGTGGAAGACGAGCACAATATCGTCAGCGAAGGCGTGGCAGTACTCTCCCCTGAGCTCCAGACTCTTCAGGAGTGGGTCTAAGAGAAGATTCCATAGGATAGGGCCCCCTATTGAACCCTGAACACAGCCCTTGCTAGTGCCTTTGTTGTATTCCTCTCCGGCATATCGGACCCTTACACTTCTATCTTTCAGGTAGCTGTCCACTAAAAGCCGGAGGTTTAAGGGGCATCTTTCTTCTGCCAGTCGAACTCTTATGGCTGGCCACCATGCACTGTCGAAGGCTCCCTCTATGTCCAGTGATACTACTGTTATAATTTGTTTTAATTTTAATTTTCTGCGGATGAACTGCATTAGGTCATAGAGGGAGTCTTCGGTGCTTTTTTGGGGCATGAATCCGTACTGGAGAGTGCTCATTCCTGGTAACAAATGGTATTTTAATCGGCCAACTAGCATCTTCTCGAGGATTTTGCCCATTACTGGTAATAGCCCTATCGGTCTCAGAGATTTAGGGGTTGTGTAGTTCTCTTTACCGGGCTTGCGTAGCACCACCACTACTGCCTCCTTCCAAGACTTTGGGAAATGGTGCAACAATAGGCATTTATTCATGAGCTGTAGGAACATTTCGGAGTCATCCTCAATAGCGTGTCTGCAAACGTCAGCGGTGAAACCATCCACACCAGGCGCCTTTCTTGGATTAAAGGAGTTCACCGATGCCCTGAGTTCAGAGAGTGTAAACTCCGGGTCGCAGGTCTCAGCTTGTTTTTCAGTGTTCACCTCTTCGGCTCTTCTCCTTATCTGCTGGTGATGAGCATTATCCGAGCTCTCGACGTCTTCTGGGTAAAAGGTCTCCGCTATTAACTTTGCCGACTCCTTCGGGTCCAGCTCTTCCCCATCTTTGATCATCGGGAGGTCCTCCGCTCTGGTGGACGTCCGGGCGATCACTCTGTAGATCCCCTCCCAGACTCCTTCCTTATCCTGTTTTCCGCAAAAATCCTTCCAGCTGTCTATCTGTGCCTTTGCCGCCGCCATCTCATAATCTTCTTTTTGTTTCAGGTACTCCTCGACTACCTTCTGTCTCCGTACGGGGGCCGCGCAACGGATTCTGTTCTTCTTTGTAGCTACTTTTTTCTTCATTTCTTCGAGCTCCTTGGACCACCACGGCATGGTAAGTATGTTTTTATTTTTAATCTTTTTTAGTGTGTTGTTGCAGGTTTCGGTTATTACATTTGAAAATTTTTGAATGGTTGTTTCTAGTTGGTCTATTGATGTGATTTTTGTTATTTCTATTTTGTTTAATTTATATTTTACTTTAAATTGTTGCAGTTTCTCATGAAACAGCGCCCAATTTGCGTTTTTTGTTATGTATTGTCGGGTTGTTCTGTTTATTTGGATTCCCTTTGACTTTTGCAAGTTGATACTAAATACCATGGCGTTGTGATCCGAACTCGTTAGTCCTTCGACAACCTTCCAGTCGTCTATTACATTTAAAATGTCCGCTGTACAGACGGTGACGTCGACGTGACTTGTTAGTCGTTGACCTCCCCGTATTGTGTCGAAGGTAGGAGTTTCCCCTTGGTTTATGATGTGAAGGCCTAGCTCATCTACGGCACCAGACAGCTCCTCTCCTCGTACATCTGTCTTTGAGCCTCCCCACCATGGGCTCTTCGCATTGGCATCACCTCCAGCGA